CCGCCCCGCCGCCGCCCGCCCTCCGCCCGTCGCCCCGAGCTCCGCAGCCACCGCGACCTCCCGGCCGCCCCGCCGCCCGCCGTTACCCGCAGACGCCGCGCGCCCGCACCTCGCGCCTCCTGCGGCAGTGGCGGCCGTGCCTTCGCTCGCTCCGGGCTGCGCCGCCGTGGCCGCCAACAACGCCGCCTCCGGTTGGCCGCGCCGCCTGGCTCCGCCCTCAGCGAGCAAGGCGGGCTACGATTGGGCGAGCGCAGCGCAAGTCAACTGGGCCTCGGAGCCGCGCGCGGGGACCAATCAGGGGGTGATGAGAGGCAGGGGCTCCGCGTCGCGCTCAGGCCCGCGAGCCGTATGCAAATCGGGTGTGTGACGTCGGGTAGCCCCGCGTCCTGTGCGCTCTCCCGCCGCCACTCAGCACGTGGCGGCTGGCGGCCGCGCCGCTGTAGGCTGTTTTCCGGCTCAGCCGCAGCAGCGTCCGCGCCCAAGTGCGTGGCGATGCTCGGCTGTGTCCCCAGGTCTGTAATACTTCCCGAGCGGCTCTTCAAAACTTCCATTTCTCCTGGCGCGATGGCGCACGCTTGTCAACCCAGCGGTTCCGGAGGCTGAGGCAGGAGGAACGAAAGTTTGAGGCCAGTCTCACCAACTTAACGAGACCCTGTCTCAAAAAATAAAAAGGACTGGGGATGTGTCCCAATGATTAAGCGCCCCTGGTTTCAATCCCTGGTAACAAAACAGAACTTCCCTTTTCTTTGGGTGATGGTGCTTCTGAAACTACACACGTACACACACATAAATCCTACCCCCCGCACCGGGTTTTCACTGTGCTAACGAGTTTATAGTGGAGGACGGGGAGATTTAAAACCATCTGCAGACTCCTGGCAGAGGGGTGAAGGGCACGGGTTGCTGCAAAGCCCCTCGGGGCCGGAAAAGCAAGGCGAGCCCCCTGCAGGAGCTGGGTGTCCACCCGGGCCTGGGCCTGAGTGCCGCCTGGATTCCTTAGTGCCCCTTAACTGCCGTCCCACTTTTCCATAATGACCATGCAGTGCTCTTGGCGACAGCGGGAAAGGAAGCACAGACCGACCACGAAGGAAAAGAACCTGGAGCCTGCTCCAGTGTGTCTCCCCTACTCCACGGTCTCAGGTGCACCTGCCTTCATTGGTTCTGGCCCTGCCTGGATGTGGGGGTTGGTGTGGGAGGCACCAGGTGGGGGAGCCTCCCAGCTCTACCCTTGGGAGACCTGATGGAGGCGGGATGGGTGGTGGGGGTGGGGGTTCTTTCCCCAGGGTCACTTCTGTGATGTGGTCACTGGTTTCCTCTGGCCACCACAAGTACCACAAACCGGGTGAATGAAACAGGCATGTCAGTCCTCTGGTTCTGGAGGTCAGGAAGCTGAAATCAAGGTGTGACGCAGCTGTGCTCCCACCGGGACACTGGGTGAGGGGCCTTCCTTGCCCCTGGAAACTCCTGGTGGCTCCAGGCATCCTTGATTGTAACCCTGCCACTCCCAACTCCTCCGTCTCCATATGGCCTCCCCGTAAGTGTCTCTTCTTTAATGAGGATGCCAGTCACCAATCAAGATGTACCCTAGGGATTCCATCTCAGTGTTCACACCTACAGAGAACCTACTGCCAAATGTCACAAGCCAAGACCTATGACTTGAATGTAGCCTTGGGAAGCCACCATGCAGCCCACCATCACAAGGGGGGGGGGGCACTGTGCCAGTCACCCCTGCCACTGGGCTGTGTAGAAGGTAGCAAGGGTTAAAGGGCAGGGATTCCTGCTGTACAGATTCTAGCTGGGTGACCCTGGCAAGTGCCCTGCCCGTCTCCCGTCTCTGAAGTGTAGTACCTGCTTCACACGGGCACAGGCACTGAGTGAGCAGCCAGCTTGATGCGGCCTCTGCTGTCCTTACCACCCCCTTCACTCGGGTAGTAGGACACCTTTGGGACGGGAGAGGAAGCAGACCCCCAGGCTCAGCCTGCCCTGAGCTTTGGGGTGCATCTAGTCCTACACAGGCCCCGGGCTCACAGCGAACATGTGTGGCAGCTGGGAGCAGCTGCTTGCTGAGCCCAGGGCTGAACCCGAAGCTCTGAGGGGCTAAAAGACTGGCTCTTGGGTCTGCCCGGGGCTGGGACGTTGGACCCAGGAACACACCTGCCCGTGCCTGGAGATGTGCACCCTCCAGGTGGGCCCCGTGGGTTTGGAAAGCAGGCCATGAATGTCACACGTTCTTTCTGCTCACATCTTCCCTTATCAGCACCCTCCAGTCACTTGGGTATTGAGGATGGCCACCCCCTCTGAGAGGCTTCGCTCCCACCCAGTGCCACCTCCCTTTTATTTCCATCAGGCACTGCTGCCTGCGTCCTTCACTTGTCCCCATCACTAGAAAAGAGCAGTGTCAGCAGGCTTCCAGGGGTAAGGCTGATGGGGCTGAGAGCTGAGGACCTACGGAGTGACCAGCTGGGCTTGGCGTGTGGAGCCTGCCCGGCCAGCTGCATACTGTGTTCTGGGACCTGTAGATAGCTCAGGGTGGCTCATGTCCCTACAGATAGTGTGGGGGAGCCCACAAGGGAGGTGTCCCCCGTATGACAGGGATTGGGGGAGGGGCAGGTGATACCTGGGTGAGGCTGCAACTAGGGAATTGTGGGCAATGTGTAGGTGGCCCAGGGGGGCCCGTTCCTCTTGCATTCTCTCAGGTCGGTGCATGGTGGGTCTGGGACCCCCAGCAGAAATGGGAGTGACCCCGTGAAGGGGGTTCTTTGCAACCTGGAAAATGCCGTCTGTTCTGAAATTAGGTAACAATCATTACTTGCCTGCACAGTGACTGCATGATCTGTTCTCCATTTTAGTCTTGGATGAATTTTTGATAAGTATTTTTATTTTTTTGGTACTGGGGATTGAACCCAGGGGCACTTAAACACTGAGCCACATCCCCAGCCCTTTTTTATATTTTATTTAGAGACAGTCTTGCTGAGTTGCTTAGGGCCTCGCTAAGTTGCTGAGGCTGGCTTCGAATATCTCATGATCCTCCTGCCTCAGCTTCCCAGCCACTGGAGTTACAGGTGGGTGCCACTGCACCACCTCTATATTTCATTTCTTCATTTATCTATTTAGTGGGCACCAGGGATTGAACTCAGAGGCACTCGACCACTGAACCACATCCCCAGCCCTATTTTGTATTTTATTTACAGACAGGGTCTTGCCGAGTTGCTTAGTGACTCGGTTTATGTTGAGGCTGGCTTTGAACTTGCGACCCTCCTGCCTCAGCCTCCTGAGCCGCTGGGATTACAGGCGTGCACCACCGCACCTGGCATATTTTTAATAGACACACAGTAATAATGGGTGTTGATGGGGTCCAGTGTGGCATTTCCATGCCGGGGAGCAATGTGTACTGATCAGGTCGGGGTCACTGGCGTGCCCACCACCACTTCTGTGTGCGGGAGCATGAAGACCCTCTCTGTGCCAGCTGTCGGGAAGTGCTCAGTTGCCGCCAGCCAGTTCCTCCGCTGTGCCATGGCACTTTACAAGTCAGTCCTCCTGCCCAGCTGCACCGGGAGCCCGTGTGCCTCCTCTCTCCAGCCACCCTCCCCCACCCTGCCCGGGCTCTGTGGCCACTGCCTCACTCGCTGCTTTGGGACCCTGCTTTAGCTTCTGCGGAAGTGAGCACGGAGCACTTGTCCCTGTGCCTGGCGTGTGTCACTGTGCTCAGGTTCTCTGGTTCCCTTGGTTTCGTGGCACATGGCAGGACGCTCTCTGTGGCTGAGCGCTCTTCCATGACGCTTTTGCACTCACACCCAGGAGGACTCCTTATGGATGGCCGCAGAGGGCGCTGCGCAGGGCCTGCACTTGCGGTGTCTTCAACGTGCCAACGTCAGCTCTGGTGGTTCTGGGGAGCAGGACAGCGGTCCCGCACAGTTCTGTTTCCGTGTTCGAGGGCCCTCCGTGCTGCTCCCACGATGTCCCCAGCAGCACTGTGCCAGGGCTCCCTTTTCTCCACATCCTCAAACTGCGCCTGTTGCGTTTTGTCTTTCATTGTCGCCATCGGATGGGGGCGAGGACAGCTCACGGTGCTCTTGATGTGCCTTTCCCTGTGCCCGCGTTTTCCAGGCCCTTTCCGTATCTCATTTGGCTCTTGGGTGGATTTATTTCCATAAAGCACTAAGTCGTTTCTCTGCTACAGAGAACAGTGACTTATGAGACTGGTGTCTATTTCCTGTGGCTGCTGCAAAGTCTCACAAACCAGGGGGCTTGAAGCCACAGTGGTCCCTTCTCTCAGCTCTGGGGGCTGGGAGTCGCAATCCAGGCCTCAGCAAGGCTGGGCTCCTGCCAAGGCTCCAGGCAGGACCACAGCCTGTGTACCCCTCTTACACAGAGCCAGTCAAACTGGATTTAGGGCCCCCAACTCTAAGATGACCTTATCTTCACCCATCTAATCACACGTGCAGACCCTATTTCAAAAAAGGTCACATCTGCAGGTCCAGGATGAACATGAACATGAACATGGGGACCCTATTCAACTCAGTACAATGTCCTGAGAATCTGGTGCTTCTCTTGTGTCAGTGGCCATTCTCAGGGGACATGCCCCTGTGGGGTGAACCCTTTGCCTCAGTGGGGCTGCAAATTTCTGGACATTCCATATTGAATGCTCAGAGCTGCTAGGCTGAGATTGAAGCCTGGCCCACTGCTGTGGGAGGGGACAGGCCTCTTGCTGACCACCCTCACTGAGAGCCCCTGCTCTGCCATCCACAGGGGCCAGACACCCGCAGTGGCCGCTGCTCTGGCCCCAGAGGACAGTGTGGTCCGGGCATTTTGGACCCGTGTCTGAAGATCTCAGGAGCCGGCTGAGCAGGTTTTCCACTTCAAACCCAACACCCAGAACAGGGGAACCAGCCCGTCTCCCTGAAGTCCCTGCTCCTTCCTGGAGACGCTGGAGTCGGGGCATGCTCACTTCTGCTCCTGAGCCCTCAGGCTCCAGGCTCTGGTGGTGCTAGAACAAGGCCCTTGCTTAGAGCCCAGTCATGCTGGACTCGGGGGACAGAAGCCTGCCTGGCTAGCCACTGCCCACTCAGCCCAGGTCCCTTTCACCTGGAGGGTCCCTGTCCTTCCTGAACTAAGCCACGCTCCTGCCTGGCCCTCCATCTCAGCTGTCCTCCAGCTGTGGGTACCCAGGGAGTCTGCCACCCCTGCCCTGTCCCCTAGTCTCCCATGAGCTCTGTCCCTGCCACCTGCTGCTCACATTAGCACTGCCCACCAGTAACACTGACATGAGGGCAGGAGAGGGGTGGGTCTTGGTTTAAAAATCCCCAGATGCTGCTTAACTGCAGTGGCTGGGGAGCCCTGGTATTAGACTCCCAAGGTGGCCCAGGGGCTCCTTGGCACGGAGGGTCTCACCCCGTGGTTCTGGCTCTGCACCAGCAGCCCTCCCCAGGTGCTGCCACCAGCTGTGGCCGTCAGCAGCCCTTTTCCTCTTGGGTCCTGCCACCCGGAGCTCAGGGAACCTGGCCTGTGGTGTGCTCCTGGACTCCCTGTCCTTGCAGGTGGTCCCTGAGGCGGACTGAGCTCTGGAGGCAGACCGGCACCTGGAAAAGCAGGCGGCATCTGGCTAGCTGCGCCAAGTCGCCCGGGCCTGTGGTGGTGGTAGGCAGCATCTCTGTTCCCATCCGTGGGGTTGCCGCCACTGAGGGAGGGGGTGCCTAAATGACAGGGCATTGCAGGGAAGGACACTGGAGGCACGTGAGGGCACAAAGAGCCTGTTTCTCCGTCAGGTTGGACGTTGTCTCCTTCATGTGATCTTTTCTTTTTGTGGTGCTGGGGATGGAACCCGGGCCTTGAGCAGGCCGGGCAAGCTACACCCCAGCCCCTTTGGCATCTGTGAAGTGACTGTGCCTTTCTCCCTAGAACCCACAAGTCACCTGTGGGGGGACACTTTGCCACGGTGCGTCATGCAGCCCCTGGAACTCTCCAGCCGTCTCAGCAACTCCATCAAGACCAGAAAGGGTCGCCCTTCTACCAGTGGGCAACACTGGGCCAGTCTTCCCTTTAGCTGGGCCATCTGGTGGCCCTGAAACAGTCCCATGAAAGGAGGAAGAATACCTGATGCGGTCACTTATGCACAACAGGTTTGTAGAGGAAGGGCTGCCACAAGAGCTGCTCCAGGGGTGACAGTACTCTTTGGCTCTGTTTCTGAGGGAGAGCGGAGGCTCCTGGGTCCCAGCTATCACACTCTCCACTGCCCCAACTGTCCCAGACATGCCAAGGGGAGCTCCCGGGGAAGCTGTAGATCGAGTGCCGGGGTCCCGCGAGCCCCGAGGCCGCACTGTGCAGGGCCAGAGCATGCCAGGTGAGTACCAGGCACCCATGCTGGCAGCGGGTGGCTCCCCATGAGGCCAGCGCATGGGCAGAGCTGCCTAACTGCCACCACAAGGACACACCACTGTCCCACTGAGGTGACCTCCTGCTGTCCCCTGCAGCCACCCCCACCACCCCCATAGCTAGGTTTGAGAATAGTACCTACATGGGTGGCATGTGACCTCTGAGATGAGCTTTCCCCTTAGTGTGATTCCTAGGCCCAGCCAGCAGTACATGCCACTGGCTCGCCCATATTCTTTTGCTGTGACTCCATCAGTCATTAGAAGTGTCCTTCTTTGGACACAAAGAGTCCAGGCTTCCCACTTCTGTACTGGCGGATTTTGAAGGAGGTGGCAGCATCTAGAGCTCACTGCTCCAAGGAGTCGCCTTCCCGTCTAGAGCCAGGAGACACTCTGCGGCTCACACTGTCGGTCAGGTCATATTGCTTTGTCCAGTTCATACGGAACAGCACAGGGACTTAACTTGTTTTTTTAAGTTTGTATTTTATCTCTTACATTAAAATCCTGGTTGCTGACATCAGTGTTATTTGCTCTGTCTCAGCATAGAGTTTGGAAACACCATACCAATGTTACTAGAGGCAGAACTACCATGTCACGCTGGACTCCTGTGCACCCCTGGCCTGGGCAGGCCCCCACCGAGGTGACTAGCAGAGGCCGGTCTCTGAGCTGAGCTGATCAGTTTCCAGCAGCCATGGTTTGGATCTGAATGTCCTCCAAAGGCCCAGGTGTAAAGGCCTGGTCTCCAGCCCATGGTGCTGTTGGGAGGGGGGGGGGGGGGTCCAACTGGGAGGAGGTAGGGTTATGGGGTTGACCCTGAGGGGAGATTGGGAGCCCTGCTCTTCCTCTCTCTCTGCTTCTGGCCTTCACAGAGAGCGGCTCTGCTCCACCACTTGCTCCCTGCCATGAAGTTCCCTGCCCACCACAGGACCAAGCCGGCCACAGTGGCAGACAGCACACTGGGAAATAGCTGCTGTGGTTTCCTGGTCCCCCCAGATTCCTTCAAAACCTGTCCTGCTCCTCCCCAGGGACGTGGATGGCTCTTTGTGATGGTCTCCACTAGGAAGATGCCATGGCCTCTGGAGTTAGGACCCTCCAGCTCTTCTCTCTGGACACAGCCTCCAAAGTCGCTGGAAGAGACCACAGCAATGAGAGGTGCCCAGCAGCCCCAGCCCAGGGCCAGGTGAGAACCCCAGATGAGCTGCCTGACTGCCAGGAACTGCCTGCCAAGCCCCTGGCCAGTGTAGCCGATGGCTATGGTTCTCGGCCACCAGGTTCTGAGGTGTCTGTTATGTAGCAATAGCTAACTGGGACAGGCTGCTTAGTGCTGTCTGGGGGACTTTTTTCTTTTAAATATAAAATACCAATAAAGTTTGGGCTAGGGATATAGCTCAGTTGGTAGAGTGCTTGCCTTGCACACACAAGGCCCTGGGCTTAATCCTCAGCATCACACATACACACACACACACAAAAGACCGACAAAGTCAGCCTGCACAGGACAGCCCGCCAGCTCTGGGCCGAGGTCCTACAGGGACAGGGCTGCACCAGCCTCACACAGTCTCATGCTGCCACATTTCACACTTGGGGGGGCCTTCAGGGCAGCTTCCTACAGGCAGAACCAAACCATAGGGACAGGGTACGTCCACCACTGGGCATTGCCACACCCCCCAAGTGTGTGGTCTCCTACCAACACCAAGGCCTGCCCTTGGTCCAGTCGGAGCTGGCCCACACCAGCCTTCACAGGCACGGGGGGCTTCTGCCCCTGGCATGACACTCCACCAAGGCCGGCTGGGCACATCTGAGGGCAGACTCTCAGCTGGAGTGAGCACCCTGTGGGGAGCTGGTGGGGAGGACACGCCCCCGGTGTGGAGACTCCTATCTCGCCCGCCAGCCCTGCAGACCCGGGCTGCGTCAGCCGTGGCAGGCCTGGCAGCTGGCCAGGGGCCCACCCGCAGCCACTGGCCTGCTGCTCTAGGAAACCTGCAGTGTGCGTGTTCATCAGAGCAGAGGCAGACTGAGCGGTCTTTGTCTGCGGCCCAGCGGGATCCGCCAGGCTGAGCCGGGTCTTTTTCCTACTCAAATACCTCCAAATGCACCCACACAGCAGGGATTAGCCGGGCTGCTGGCATGTGGGGAAATTCCTCCGCTGGCTCCACTGACCAAGCGCTTAAGTCACAACCTGCTGACCATGCGGCCCGGCTGCCAGCTCCAGCAGGAGCTGAGTGGAGGTCGGCGGCAGAGAGGGCGGCAGGGCCTCACTGTTCACAGGGTTTATTGGTAACGTTGCAGGGCGACGGCCACGTGCACCTACGTGAACCAGTCCTCTGCTCGGGGCGAGGACAGCTGTCCACAGGACAGGAGTGCGGGCGCTGCCCTGGGCGGAAGCCTCAGTGCCCGGCCGTCAGGGCAGACTTCCGTTCTGGACCATCTGCAGGTACTCCTCGTGCAGCCTCTCCTGCGCCTCATACAGCTTCCGCAGCCTCTTGGAGAGCCCCTTGCTCAGCTCCCTGCCCTCTGTGTCGTGCGTGGGCAGGCCCTGCAAGGGCAACACAGAGCTGCCAGGCCCGCCACCCTGCACCCTCCTCCCTCCTCCTCCTCCACGCGCCTCTCCCTGCTGTGGCCGCGTCCTCTGGTGAGGGCTTTTGGTCACCACCTGCTCAGGGTCCAGCATGCTGACCCAGCAGCATTGGCTTAAGAGTTTAAGACCATGGCCACCGTGGAGAATGGTGACCAGGGTCTGGGCACCCTGTCTCTGTCAGGGCCCACCATGCTGAAGGGGTGCAGCAAATACACCTAGACCTGGCAGGGAGGCCGAGGGTGGGGCAGAGCTGGGCCGGCTGAGGCCCGAGGCCCTGCCGGGCTCTGTTTCAGCCATCCGAAGTCCGGCCCAGGCCGTGACTCCCACTGTCAGAGGCAGGAGCAAGGTGGAGGCACCTGCCAGGAGGGGACCCCCTGAGCCCCAGCCTCCCCTAGAATCTCCCACATGCCCACGGCCGAGAACTCCTGCCACCCCAGTTCAGGGTGGTCTAATGAGTCCTGAAATGTGGAGAAGGATTTCTTACATTTTCATCAAACTTGGAATATTTGTCACTTTCTGACAGGAACATTTCACCAGGTGGAATCTTCATCCTGGCCAGCTTCGCCGCCTGGAACAGAGCAGGGTCATAACCACCAAGCAGCAGGCAGGGGCTTTACACTGTCCCCAGGATGCCCACTCCCACCCCAGCCCCCAAACTGCTCTCAAACTCAGATGGCTGGAAGGAATGTGGAAGCCAGGGCAGGAACTCAAAGGGGCCCGCGTTCGTGGAACAGAGGAAAGGCTGTCAATCGTCCCAAGGGCAGCCAGACTGCAAGAGCTGCCCAGTGCGGTGACGGGCGGGTAGTCTCCCCTGGCTGTCTCCCTCCTGGGTGGACCCCCAGGTTCCAGGGCACCATGTAGGAAGGCAGGTGGGGGCAGAGTGGAGCTCTCTTTAGAGGGTCCTCCGGGGCCTGGCCAAGTCCAAGGGAGGCCGAGAGCCACAAAGGCCCAGGCCAAGGTGCATTTCTACCCAGGGAAGTCCCCCCAACAAGCAGACGTGCTCACTTCCTGCTCTCGCTTCCTCCGGGCGGCCTCCTCCTTCTTCTTCCTCTTCTCCTCTTCAACCTAGGGGAACAGAAAGGGTCAATGAGCCAGGGTCCCAGTCCTCCTGCTGTCTCCCACGACCTGGCCTAGGGCTGGACTCCTGTCCAGCCCAGCCCAGCCCTCGGAGTGGGAGACAGATTGGTGCCCTGGGCTTAGGTGGCACACCTGTGCTCAGCAGTGGCTGACCCTTGTTCCAGAGCTTCTCAGTGGCCCTCTGGGTGCCCACCATGCTCTGGACGTGAGGACAGGGCAGCAGACAAAACCAACATTAAAAGCTTCAGGCACAACAGCAGGACACTGACCAGAAGGACAAACGTGGTCTGGAAGGGGGGGCTGCATCTAGTGGGGCCTGGGGACGACCTGCACAGGTCATGGTACCCAGGAGAGCAAGGGCACAAGGCAGGATGGGGAGAGGGCAGAGGCCAGCAGCGCCAAGGAACGGGTACCAGCGTTGGGGCAGTCAAAGAGATGGGACAGGAGGAGGTGAGCAGAATCCAGGATTCCACTCCACCCAGCAGAATCCAGGGGAGGGGCTGGGGAGGCCTGGCCCGGGGCTGGTGGTGGAGGCAGCTGGTCTCAGGTGAGGTCAGGCCAAGCCTGCGTCGGGAGTTCGGGCTGCCGTGGGCACGGAGGTGCCTGCCACCCATGGGGAGCCGAGAACCTGATTCCTTTGGGATGTCCAGGGTTTCGGGTGCTCCTGGCTTCCTGGAGCTATGAGGTAAGCAGCCAAGTGCAGGAGCATGGCAGGTGGGCTCTGGGCTGGGGCCTGGGGTCATGGCCGATGCCCAGTGGACACCAGAGAAGCGGTGGGCTGGGCAAGGCCACAGGGGAGGGGAGGGGAGGGCTGGGGAGGGGAGGCAGGAAGGCGCCCACAGAGCGCCAGGACGGCAGTGTGCTAGAGGAGCGGTGGCCTGTCTAGGACTCGGGGCCCTTTCAAGGCAGGAGTGCTCGTGTGCGGAGGGACTACTCTGGAGGAGGGCAGGCAGGGGCACGCTGGAGGGCCTGGGGGAGCCACGAGCTGCTGCCTCAGAGGGAAGAGGTTTCGGCAAGGCACCCCAGCTTCAGGCCAGATGTGTGGGCAGGAGGCTGGGCCACCCCTGGCTGGGGGTGCAGGAAGGCCCCAGCCAACTTCTGGTCACCTCCAGGCAGCTGGCAGGCTACACCTCCCCTAAGGAGGCTGTGCTTGCTCGGTTCAGGAGGGGAGCCCGTGTGGACGGAGACCCAGGCTGGGGAGAGCAAGTGTGACCGAAATGGAGAGGGCCTCTATGGGAGGTCACGCCACAACCTCTAGGGCAGGCTCCCTTCACACCTCCCTTGGTCACCACCCTGTGACTGTCTGGAGTCCCCCAGGCAGCTCCAGCTGACTCTCCTCAGCTGATGGGTAGCTCCTCCCCATGTCCCCAGGCCCTGCAAACCCAGTCTGTGTACACCCGAGTCTTGGGCCCTGCTCCTGGGGGGTGGGGGGCTTGCTGCAGTGCCAACGCAGGCCACTCTCAACTCCATCCCCAGACCCAACCCTGGCTCTGTCAATCACCTCTCCTCTCCAAGTCCCTCTCGAGTGGCCCGGCCCAAACCTGCTCTGGAGGCCACCCCCGGGGCCCACCTGTCTCAGTGCCACTCCCCGTTCCTGTGTGGCTTGGGAATACACATGTCCCTGAGGGCACCTCACAGGCTGAGTCCAGCAGTTCTGATGTGTTTTTGTTCCTGTTCTTTCTCCCACTGACAGCCAGGTCTCTGAACATGGGATCTCTGGATCATGGGGTCTCGCTGGGGTGGAGGAGCTTTGGGAGGGGCACTCTGGGAAGAGCCAGAAGGCACTGAGGGTCTGCTGTCACTCGCCTCCCCCCAGCTGAGAAGACGGCCTGCTGTTGGGTTCAGGCTGTCGGGCAGTTGCGGAGCTGACTTTTCTTTCGGACATTCACAGGGACAGGGATTTGTTTGGTTTGGGCCCTGGGGATTGCCCGGGGCTCCGTACATGTTGCAAGCTCTCCACCACTAG